GAGGGATGTGGGATGATGGAGGGATGTGGGATGATGGAGGGATGTGGTAGAACTGCCAGAGAGAAAGGATGGAGTCCATCACTGCTACCCATTTGAGGAGGCTGCACACAGAGCTGGGATGCCAGGGGCGCAGGGATATCCCTAAGTGTGTGTGGGGCTGTGCCAGCACTCGGGCACGTGTCCCCAGTGGAGACTGAGCTGCTCCCCAGATTCACCCTTTCCTGACACCATGCGCAGTGCCCAGCCGTAGCCACGCCGCCAGCACCCAGCCCTGCACCCACCTGCTGCTGCCCTTCAGGCTGCCATCATCTGAGAGCGCTTTGGAGGAGCCTTTGTTCTTGGACAGCCACGACTTCACTCCATCCACGCGATCCTCCAGCTCTGAGTCCACGTCCGAGTCACCGTCGCTGGTGGGAGAAAGGCAGCGATGAGCACCTGGGATGTGGTGCAGGGACGTGTGACATCGTGCCACCCATCCCCGTCCCTCTGCCCCACTCCATCTCAGGACACCGCATGCTCTGCGACCCCACAGCCCCAAAACCACCCCCAGAAGGATGCGGGGCCACCGGGCTCAGCGCAGCCCTGGCTGTGCACGGCCCTATAGCCAGGAAATCAACCACGAGGTGGAGAACCACGCGGGGCACGGCTCCAGAAACACGGGGGATGCCGAGCTCACAGAGAGGAAATAAGTGGGTTCGTTTTATAGGCTGCCACCGAGTGCAGAATTACCGCGAGGCAGAGCTACGTTGATGCCCCTGGGTAAACAGGAGTTTAGCAGGCAGAACAGAAACGACTCCGGCACGGCGGGCGCACGGACGGATTTACGGCCCCACCGTGACGGAGAGCCCCTGATTTATGGGCGGACATAAAAAAAGCCCTATCTGCCTTAAAACATCTAATTTATAACGGCCGCTGGAAACCGTATTGATCGCCTTTAGCGCGAAGGTGCCGTCTGCATTGCAAAATCCATTCCTCCACGTTGAGAGCATCCCGGTGTAAATCTCTGCTCACGCCGGCCGTGCGCTGCTCTCATTAGCGAGATGGCGGCGCCTATCAGAAATCGAAGCACCGCGTCCCCCCCTGACCCCGCCGGGCTCCCACATCCTAAATGGCAGCTGGGGATGGGCTGGGCAGTGCCATCCTAAAGGGCCGCTCTGTCTGCACGGCCACACGCTCAGCCCGAGAGGGACGGGCTGTTACAGCTCCTATATAGGAATCCTCCTTGTTGCATTCAAAGCAACGAGCTGCGCTCCATCACGCACGTCTCCCTCCCCTGCAATATATCCGGGCTTTAAAAATAAATGCACATAAAACAAACTCTGAGGTGCTGTTAGCTCATGCGAAACTGGGCCAGCAGCATGCAGGGGCCCCGGCCCCAGGGGGGTGAGCAGGGTTAGGGGATGGGGGAGAAGGAAAGAGGAGGTCCTCACAGTTTACTCTTTCTTTTCTGATACTTTGCCACCATGTCCTGCAAACTGGGAGGGGGTGGGTGGGGGAGAAACATAACAGAATGAAATCAAATGAAATTAAAATTGAAAAAAAGAAGGAAACCAAGTCGGGCAGGGCGATGAATGGAGAACAAATCAAAAGGGATGAGATCTGATGAGATGGGGAGGGGAAAGGTTTGGCTACTCTGAGCCCATCTGCAGGGCTGGGCTGGTTTCCAGCGCCCCGAGACCCCACACTGCCCCTGATCCTGGGGTCCCTCAGATGTCCTCAGGATTTGTGGCCGGGGATGTGGCAGCAGGTGAAGCTGCACCAGGCTGCGGGTGAAGGGAGGGGTGGGCAGGTGGGTGGGTGCACAATGCACAGATGGGTGGATGCATGGGTGCAAGGATGGATGGATGGGTGGGAGGGTGAAAGGATGGATGGATGCATGAATGGATGGATGGGTGCAAGGATGGATGGATGGGTGCAAGGATGGATGCATGAATGGATGGATGGATGGATGGATGGATGGATGGATGGATGGATGGATG